CCCAGTAGATTAATGGCCCACTATAGCTTTCATATTAAGTTAATTGAGTGCAGAATGGCTTTGCTGGATTTGAATGACAGCTTCAGAGTTAAGCTCATCATTCTTCAAGAAAGCATAAAATGAGGGAACCGAAATCATGGGCCTGAATTATCACATCTTTTCTCTGTTTAGGGTAGGTTTTTCCATTTTCGGGTGCCACACAGCCCATTAATTAGCAAACAGGCAGCACTTGCACCAAATTATTTCCATCCTCCATCCCCAGCTAAACACTAGCCCAGCCCGTAACTTTCCATCTCGGGACATAGGTACAAAAAAAGGAACGCTCCATGAGTGACAGCCCTTCACAGCTTAGAGAGCACCTGGGTTCCTCTCTCTCATTTCACCCTCCCAACAAGCCTCAACTCTCCATGTTCACCCTCATTCTACAAATGAAGAGACTGAGCAACAGAGCAGAATGAGAACTTGCTTGAGGTCAAACACTAGGAAGCAGCAGAACTAGGACAGGGCTCCCAGCCCAGTGCTCCCTCCCCAGAACATAGGAGGCTCATGTGACTTCACTCTGATTGTTCACTTTTTTTTCACTATAAACTTTTGTCCTGCCTTCTTTTTCCACCTATCTCTCCACCCATTCCAAATTTATATGAACAAATTCTTCTTAGGTCTTGCCTGTTTTACCTTTTCAGCCTTATTTCCATCATTACCCAACATGAAGCCCAGGCTGCAGCCACATCAAAACATATGCTGGCTTCCCCAGTGGTCCAGTGGTTAAGAGTCCATCTGCCAATGCAGGGGACACAAGTTTGATCTCTGGTCCGGGAAGATTCCACATGCCACGGAGCAACTAAGCCCAGGCACCACAGTGACCCAGCCTTCACTCTAGAGCCCACAAACCACAACTACTGAGCCCATGCGCTGCACCTATTGAAGCCCATGTGTCTAAAGCCCATGCTCCACAACAAGAAAAGCCATCACAATAAGCCTGAGCACCACAACTGAAGAGTAGGCCCCTCTCACCACAACTGGAGAAAGCCCACACAAAGCAATGAGACCCAGCGCAGCCATAAACAAGTAATTTTTTTCAAAAACATGTGCCATGTTCCATGCACATAAGGACCTCACTTTTACTCAGTGCTGTTCCCTCTGCTGTGATGCCCTTCTCCACCTTCACCTTTTCTATTCAACGTTCCCAAACCAAATGCCATTTCCTCCACGGGGCCTTTCCAAATGTTCAAATATTTTGTAGCAAAATATTACAGCATTCTTGTGCATTTATGTGTATCAAGGATAGTGGCTTGTAACTTTCTTTGCTTATACTGTCTCTGGCTTTGGTATGAGGATGATGCTGGCCTCTTAAAATGAGTTTGGAAGTATTCCCTCCTCTTCAATTTTTTGGAATATTTTGAGAAGGTTTTCTGTTCATTCTTTTTTAGATGTTCAGTAGAATCCATCAGTGAAGCCATCTGGTCCTGCACTCTTCCGTGTTGGCAGATTTTTTTATTAGTGATTCAACATTCTTATTAGTAATTGGTCTATTCAGATTTTCTATTTCTTCATGATTCAGTCTTTGTGGGTTGTACATTTCTAGAAATTGATTCATTTCTTCTAGGTTATCTAACTTGTTGGACTACAATTGTTTGTAGTAGCTTCTTACAATCCTCAGTATTTTCATGGCAAGTATTAGGTAAATGCAAATCAAAATCACAATAAGATAGCATTTCATTAGAATGGATATTAAGCAAAACACCAAAAGCGAGTGCTAACAAGGATGTGAAGGCATTGGCGCCCTTACACATTGCTTGTAGAAATGTAAAATGGTATGCTCACTTTGAAAGACTGTACGGCAGTTTCTCAAAGTGTTAAACATAGAGTTATCACAAGACTCAGAGATTCCACTCCTGGATACATATCCAAGAGAATTGAAAATATGTATTTACAAAAACATACACAGATGCTCAGAGCAACATTATCTGTAATAGCCAAAAAATAGAAACAACCCAAAAGTCCATCAACTGATAAACAGATAAACAAAAGTGTGGTATATGCACACATTAGAATTTTATTGTCATATTAAAGAATGAATGACTGATCCATGCTACAACACGAATGGACCTTGAAGATACACTAAATGAAAGTCAGACACAAAAGACCACATAATATATGATTCTATTTATATGAAATGCCTGTAATAGGCAAATCTATAGATACAGAAATTAGACTAGTGGTTTCCAGGGGTATAGTGGGAGTGGGTGAGTAACTGCAAGTGGGCACAGAGTTTCTTTCTCTGGGGATGAAAATGTTCTAGAACTGGAGAGTGGTAATGGTTTCATGACCTTGTGAGTATACTAGAAACCACTGAACTGCACACTTTAAAAGGATGAATTTTATGGTATGTGAATTTTATCTCAATTTTTTTTTAAAGTCTGTCTAATGAATGAGGCAGATGGTTGTGAAATCCTGAAGACCAGAATGCTGGCCAGCGGAAGGCACCTCATATCTCTGCTCTCCCTGCTATGGCCCTAGTCATCTCCAAAGTCAATCATGCCACAGTCTTCTCCTCTCTCTCACTCCCATAACCAGCCCAAATTATGTCACTCGACTTTAGAAGTTTCCTCTGTCCACTCATACAAGTCATGCCTTTTTATTTTCTGTATGTTTTGAAGTTTTGACATCTGGGACGTTGCTGGTCCTTCAGCTACTGCCCCTCCAAGATCTAGCCATTTCCTAAAGCTAGCAAAGGACCCAGCTACAAGTGCACCTTTCAAATGCAAACCAACCAATGCAAAGCCCATACCCCAACCACCTCGTTTATCTGGTTCTTATACTCCTCAGTCTGTCCATCTGCCCTAATCACCCCAGTGCTGGGTACAGAGAACTAGAGACAGCTCCCATACCCCAGAGCCTGCTGAAATTATTCAAACTAGCCTGTCTGAAGTCTGTTTACCCTGTCCTGCCTTACCTTTGAGGCTCCCCAGGTGGCGCTAGAGGTAAAGAACCCGCCTGCCGATATGGGAGACAAGAGACACCGGTTCATTCCTTGGGTCAGAAAGATCCCCTGGAGGAAGGCACAGCAACCACTCAAATATTCTTGCCTGGAGAATCCCGTGGACAGAGGAGCCCGGTAGGCTATAGTCCACAGGGTCACAAAGAGTCGGACATGATTGAAGCAACTGAGCTCGCACACACGCGTGCCTTACCTTTCCCAATGACACCATAGTAAAGGCTCTTGCCCACTTTTTCTACTTGTTTCCTCTGCCTTTTGACTCACTCTGGTGCTTCCTGTGTGGCCCTGCATGGCATGCCATGCTCTCCATTTCTAGGAATCTGTGAGCAAAAACTTCTTGCAACAGTCATTTCCACATCTGCATGCCTATCCATACCTGGTAAAGCAAGTCTCAAGTACATATTAAAACACCACCTTTAAGCTTAGTTTCACTTCTTCTTTCCCACCTAACTTCTTACCACCCCCGACACTCTCCAAGATTAACAGCCACCTAAACATCTCTAATGGCTCAGACAGCAAAGAATCTGCCAGCAGTTCAGGAGATCTTGGCTTGATCCCTGGGTCAGGAAGATCCCCTGGAGAAGGGAATGGCAACCCACTCCAGTATTCTTGCCTGGAGAACTCAACGGACAGAAGAGCCTGGCAGTCTACAGTCCATAGGGTCACAAAGAGTCAGATATGACCAAGTGATTTTCACTTTTTCACATACATCTCTAACTTCCTAAGCACACCATATCCCTTTATCATATTCTGGGTCCTCCATCCTGACTCTTCATCCTCTTCTCCAGCCTCTTCATCCGATATCCCCATGCTCCCAGCAAGCCTCACTTTATAACTTCTCTTCTGGAATGACACCAGAATAGCCACCATGTGACTCAACAGAATGTGTGCCTTTTCCCTCAAAGCCCTTAGCCTGTGTGTCTAGGTATTGCCTGGCCTGCGAGTTCCCCCAAGATACAGACCATGATCCCTCATCTCTGGATTTCCAGGGCTTAGCACACTGCCAGAAAATTATTGGTAACTCAGTAAATGTAGAGGTTTACCCTTTAGTATAAGAAATCTCCCCAACAGGCAAGTAAGTTCCTTGAGGATTGAGCTCTTTCCCTCTGGGTCCTTTCCTCTAAAAAACATGGCTTACACAGGTTAAACGCCTCTGGGCTGAGCAGATGAACTGGAATGATGACTGAGCAAATAGACAGGTGGGAGGAAAGTGGCTGAGAAAGCAGGCCGCCTCCCAGTCCCCAGTAAGAGAGCTTAGGACCTTCCCGGTGTTCCAGGGGCTAAGACTTTGAGCTCCCAATGCAGGAAGCTTGAGTCAGGGAACTAGATCCCATATGCTGCAACTAAGAGTCTACATGCTGAAAGGAAGATCCAGAAGACCTAATTAATCACTGCAGAAGGTGACTGCAGCCATGAAATTAAAAGATGCTTACTCCTTGGAGGAAAAGTTATGACCAAACTAGAGAGCATATTAAAAAGCAGAGACATTACTTTGCCAACAAAAGTCCATCTAGTCAAGGCTATGGTTTTTCCAGTAGTCATGTATGGATATGAGAGTTGAACTATAAAGAAAGCTGAGCGCCGAAGAATGGATGCTTTTGAACTGTGGTGTTGGAGAAGACTCTTGAGAGTCCGTTGGACTGCAAGGAGATCCAACCAGTCCATCCTAAAGGAGATCAGTCCTGAGTGTTCACTGGAAGGACTGATGCTGAAGCTGAAACTCTAATACTTTGGCCACCTGATACAAAGAGCTGACTCATTTGAAAAGACCCTGATGCTGGGAAAGATTGAAGGCAGGAGGAGAAGGGGACGACAGAGGATGAGATGGTTGGATGGCATCACCAACTCAATGGACACGACTTTGGGTAAACTCCGGGAATTGGTGATAGACAGGGAGGCCTGGCATGCTGCAGTCCATGGAGTCCCAGAGTCGGACCTGACTGAGCGACTGAACTAGACTGAACTGAATTAATTTTTTTAAAAAGCAAGTGCTACTCACACTGTTCTTCCCACTCACGTTCCTCCTTCTCGCTGGGGTGGCTTTGCAGCTGGGCCTGCTTCAGGGTCCAGTAGAGTTCCTTCGCCCTCTGCTCTTCCTGGAGGCGAATTTGCTCTTCTCCTCGCTTCCTCTCCTCTTCCTCTTTCCTCTAAAAAACATCATGGGGACAGAATGACATTAGGTGATAGTAACAGGTCACAGGCAGGGCAGGGCTGAGCTGTCACGTGGAAAGGTGGCCAGAGGAGGCCACTCCAGACTCAGTCTCTACACACGTGAAGTGGTAACAGTTATATCTAATCAGGCCATGGTAAAGAGCAAATGACTTGAAGTATGTGAACCAAATATGTGAAGCTTTCTGCCATAATAAGAGAATTCTGGGTCACCCTTGGTCACACTTCCATTCTGGGGGAAGAGGGAAGTGGGCAGGAGGAGGGGAGCCTGGTCTTCTTGGAGGCGAGTTAAGCAGGATATGATTATTGTTGTTCAGTCTCCCAGTTGTGTCCAGTCCTTTGCAAACCCATGGACTGCAGCACACCCGGCCTCCCTGTCCCTCACCTTCTCCCGGAATTTGCCTAAGCTCATGTTCATTGCATCGGTCATGCCAGCCAGCCATCTCATCCCCTGACACCCTCTTCTCCTTCTGCCCTCAATCTTTCCCAGCATCAGGGACTTTTCCAATGAGTCATCTGTTTGCATCAACCACCTTGTCGTGGCAAAGGGGCTTGCATAACTCAGTGAAGCCATGCCATGCAGGGCCACCTAAGATGGACAGGTCATAGCAGAGAGTTCTGACAAAACTTAATCCACTAGAAGTGGGAATGGCAAACCAGCCCAGTATACTTGCTGTGATAACCTCATGAATTGTATAAAAGGCCAAAAAGATATGACACCAACAGATGAGTCCTCCAGGTCCGAAGGTGTCCACTATGCTACTGGGAAAGAGTGGAGGATATGATTATATCTTAGCTTTATTTCCAGAGACGATATTTCAAAGAGAAAACAGTTTTGGGGGCCCCAAATCTCGAAATATTGTCCTGCTTTCAAGCTCCAAAAAGGCTGTGTGTATAATCCTTTACCTTTGTTTAATCAAAGCAAATGAACACAGAGCAATCATGCATTATATGCCAGCAGGCTTGTTATTAAAAAAAAATAATTCTCTAAACCACTTTACCCAATCTACCCCCACTCTCCTCTAGTGACTAGAGGTCACCATTCTCAATTATTTTAGCTTTCTTTTATATGGTTATATCCATGTCTGAATAATGCTGCTAATTATTGATTTATTGATTCTAGACATTAACTAGTACCTTTTTTTATGGTACATAAATATTTAACACTTATATTTCCCACACTAGTGGTAAACCCATATTTTTCTTCTCATCACCCTCACAATAGATTTACATCACAATTCATAATTATATCAAAGATTGGTACATAACTAAATATAGTTCACAGGACTTCCCTGGTGGTCCAGTGGTTAAGAATATGCCTGCCAATACGGGGACACAGGTTCGATCCCTGGTCCAGGAGGATCCCACATGCCCCAGAACAACTGTGCTCACATGCCACAACTACTGAGCCCAAGCTTTAACACCTGAGCTCTGCAACAAGAGAAGCAACCGCAATGAGAAGCCTGCACACCAGGACAAAGAGTAGCCCCTACTCACTGCAACCAGAGAAAACCCAGGCACAGTAATGAAGACCCAGTGAAACCATAAATAAATAAAATTTTTTTTTAATAAACATAGTTCACTGTAATGCCGTCAGGAGCTCCCCTGGTGGCTCAGCGGTAAAGAATCTGCCTGCCAATGCAGGAGATGCACATTGGATCCCTGAGTTGGGAAGATCCCCTGGAGTAGGAAATGGCAACCCCCTCCAGTTATTCTTGCTTGGGAAAATCCTATGGACAGACTAGCCCGGTGGGCTACCGTCCAGAGGGTCACAAAGAGTCAGACACAATTTAGCAACTAAACAACAGCAACCTATATATAGCTAGATCTATATACATATTTTGTATCATATGTATATTATTTATATATCCATATAGAGTCCCGACTGAAAATATCTAAATGTTACCCTCGCATGTAACTGCTAGTCTAGCTAAGCATAGAATTTGATTAAAATCATTTTCCTGCAGAACTTGGAGGACTTCACTTCTTATCTTCTAGCATCCAGTACTGCCACTCGGATTCTCATTCTGCATAAGGCACTACTTTCCTCTTTACCTCTGAATTCTGAACCTTTTTAATAGATGTGCCTTGGTGTGGAGTTTCTTTCATTGATTACTAGGCACTCACAGTGCTTTTGATTGGAGTTTCAGGTCCTTCTAGTCTACTACATCTCTGCTTAGGATTTTTCTAATAGTTTTCTCTCCTCTCATTTTGCTTTATTCTTTCTAGAACTCCCGTGTGTCAGCTGCTGGACTTCTTGATTTGACCCTCTACGTGTCTTATCCTTTCTCTCTTATTTCCTGCCTCTTGCCTTTTTGTTCTACTTCCTGGTTGATTTCACTGACTTTATCCCCCAAACCTTCCACTGAATTTTTTATTTCAGCTAGTACATTTACAATTCCTAAGCCCTCTTTTATTCTTTGCTTGTTCCTTTTTGCTTTGTGGTATTCTGTACTTGTTTCATAAATGCCAAAGCTCATCTCTGAGGATTTTAGAGATTTTTCTCCCTCATGTTCTGATGGAGCTCTATTTCTTCTCTTTTTGTTTGTCTGTTTTGTTTTGTTCTTTTCTTTAAAGTTTGTTTTATTTGGTACCTATCATTTGTGTCGGAGGTTTTCTTCTGATGTCTGATGTTCCCTGACTGCTCACAATTCAAAGAGGAAAGTAAGTGTGTTTCTGAGGGACTTCCCTGGTGGCCCAGTGGTTTAGAATCCTCTTTGCAATCCAGGGGACACATGTTTGATTCCTGGTTGGGGAACTAAGACCCCACATGCCTTGCAGCAAGTAAGCCCACACACCACAACTACTGAGCCTGCACACCACCATGTGTCATAACTATAGACCCAAGGCAGCCAAATTAAAAAAAAAAAATAGTATATCTGAAACAGAGACTCAGAGTGTGTAGTCAAGGTTTCCTTGGGTTTCACTCTAGGAAGACTGGATGAGGGATCAGCCACTTCACTGAGGACCCTCAGGTAGAAATACCTGGAGGTTCTTTCTCTGAAATTATTTGACATCTGTGTCCACCTGGGTGGTGTCTGACTACCAACATCCCAGGAGTCTGCACAGGAGGCAGGCTACAGGTAGGACAGCCCTTAGACTCAAGCAAGCAGGACCTCTAGCCTGAGCCCCATAATTCATGAGAAACCAATGCTTTGAGGTACCTTTTTGCAAATTGTCCCTGCAAGTTTCCCAGGACTGTCCAGAAATAGTACCCCAGGACAGGCAGGGGCAGCAGTAGGTTCAGGTAAGATGCCCCAAACCCAGATCAGGTCCCATTCAGCCCTTCAGGGTACTCTCTGACCCTATCCTCCATGCAAAGGGTTAACCAAGTGCCCTATGGAGCTCCAGGATTCATAACTATGGAGTCATTCCCAGGTCCTGTGGCCAGGCCCTGGTTCCAGAAGGGTAGCCCAGCAAGCAGATGAATGTTCCTGGCCAACAGAATATTTTTATCATAGGATTGCCAGAGATTGGGCCACTGAAATAGAGTTAATAGGCTGAGTTTATGTAGTTCAAATTATTAACTTGCTATAGACAAAAACACCATCAAAAAAAATGTTACCAGTTCTGCACACCCTACAGGCAACCCTGACAGTAGGCTCCACGGGTCAGAGTTCAAACCTTTGCTTTTCCCCCTGATTCCTACCTGCCTCCACCTGTTCTCTCCACTTGTCCTAATATTCTGAGCTCCAGTGTTGTCCTTTCAACTCCTGGTCAGAGGGAGGGTGAAGTAGCCTGAAGAAACAGGTGAAAACAGGGAACTAAGGGTCCAGCCACTCCACGCAGAAATGTGCCACTGGTCCCTCACTGTCGGCGCCATCCTTCACTGTACCCGCTGTCCCCGATTCTTGAGTCTGTGGGGTCTCTGGGCTGAGCTGATTCAGGACCACCAGCTCCCTGCCTGCAGGTGCCCCGCTGACCTCCCATCACTCTCCCTCTGTCTTCCAGAAACCAAATTTCTTTGGGCATTATTTTCATCTGCTCTTCCCTCCTCTCATTTTCTGTTCTTGTGGCTTACAATTTTTTCAGTCTGCTGATAGTTTAATGGATCAAGAAGAAAAAACAAAGAAGATGGGAACTGTGAGTTTTGAGCCCCTCGTTTAAAAAAGAAAAAACAAGGATTTTGTCGCTTCTGAAATGACACAGATTGAGAATTTTTCTTCAATTCAACGAACACGTTTTTAACTTCTAAAAAAAGACAAATTCCTAATGACCCACTCTCTAGGAGTTAGGAATTAAGGGATAAAGATGTTAAGTAGCTTCTCCAGTCATTCCCCAAATCCTTACTGAGCACCTAGGAAACTCTGCCTGCTCCAGGCACTGGGGATATAGCTGTGAAAAAGGCACTTAGCCCCACTCTCTCAGAGCTTGCCTTCCAATGACAGAAAAATATGGAATTTAGAAAGATATATGGAATTTAGAAAGATAGTAACGATAACCCTATATGCAAAACAGAAAAAGAGACATATACTATATTATATATCATATTACATATAATATTTATATAATACACTATACAATATATATTATATAATAAAGTATACAGAGAATTAAAACAGGCTAAGTGATAGAGCCTAGGCAGCTACTTTAGACAGCGTTGACAAGAAATCCTCTGGAAGGGGCTGATCTGAGACCTAAATAATAAGGCTGATGAGTGAATCTCAGGGAGAAGAAACTTCTAGAAAGAGGGAACCACAGGTGCAATGGCCCCAGCATTGGAAATGGGTTTGGCATGTTTGAGTAGGGAATTATCCACTACAGCTGGAAAGAAAACAAGCCAAAATTCTATCTTTAATGAGTTTGAGATGCCATCTGACTTTCAAGAGACCCACTGTGGGTACTGGGATGCATAGCCTGGGACTTAAGGGTCCCAGGGACTTAAGCTCAGGCTGCAGAGGTTGACTGAGAGGCCCTCTGCATGGGGGTGGTGTTTCTCAGCCACGGACTTGATGATATCAATGAGAGAAAGAAAGCA